GTACAGTGAGTAGCTACACTTATATTTCCTAATTTTCACCTCATTATGTTTGTACTGAGATGTTTTCAAGCTGAACATGTCCACTGTCAGAGTAAAAGATAATTAATATATAAACCATTTCAGAAATTCAAAATCTATTTGAAGAACAGCATGCAGTAGTCCACTTCCACATTGCTAGCTGATGGTCCACCATGTGCTTCTTAGATGCTAATGTTAGCCAAACATGTCCACCCTGTCACCAAGCCCTACATGACAGGGTGGACATTTGTATAGTTGGATTTTTGTTTGTTTGGTTTTTTACGTATTCCGATAAGATGGTGATCATTTCAAACAAAGTCCATACTTTATCTGTGATTGACCTGTGATTAGAAGATTAGATATTTAGAAGATAGTTTAGTAGTGATGCAAAAGTGATGCAAAAGCTTGTGAATGTTTGTTCTGTAATGTTTACCTTTGTTCAGGTAGCTGTTAATAAGTCTACTAATGTCAACAGTTAAGTCCGTCCTGTGATGTTATTGTCCACCCTGTGGTGGTTCTAGACAAATTTAATTGGGGGGGCCAAGGTGGGGCCAGTGTTTAATCATAGGGTGTTGTCGAAAAGTAGCATACGAGAATCAGTTAAGACTCAGACGGGTTAGTTGCAGCCTCTGGGATTTTTATTGCCTTGTGGAGGAGCCCACATCTCAACAGACAGATGCCAAACATAACCCTTCCTCTGGAGCAAGAGATTCAAAGTACAGTCAATGTCATGGAGACCAGGTCGCCATGACCTGTTGTCTGCTGCCATCTTTTACTGGCAGCAGATGATGATCAGTGGCGATTCCAGGTTTTACTTTTAGGGGGGGGCAATAGTGGGCCAGTGCTATATTTTGGGGGGGGCATCCAATTCCTGCGCTGTTCGTAGATGTAGCCTACAGTAATTTCTCAAGAAGGGTTCTTTTCTTGTACTCACATTGAATGATTAAATATAGACCTAACCTAATTAAGTAGATCTAACAAAATAAACATGGTCTGGAAAAGGTTTCTGGTCAGAACATACTTGTACAATATGGAATGTACAACAACTGCTTCTTTCAAAAGCAACTCACGAAACTCAAACTGATTCACAGTGAAGACTCTTTCGATTTTGAATTTTGAATGCTGTTGTTGTTGCTGATTTTATGTTGGTGTTGTGTTGTTTTTTTCTGGTGTAGCAATTTCCCTGAGGTCTTGCACCGAAGGGATTAATAAAGTTT